AAACAGAGTACTGATGATTTTCAGTGTTTTCTTCTCTTTTTTGCTACAGGGGGAAGAAATATTATGTTTGCATATTATCTTTCACATCCTTTCAAATCTAGTCCAGGGTATAGAACAAAGAATTAATAGCATTCTCACACTCTAGCATAACATTCTAAATTTGGTCTTATTTGTTATTAGTCAACGAAATGTTCTGGTTGTGTTCCCAGTGAATATTTTCCTTTTTTCTAAAGCAATAAATTGTTGTGCTTTTTTAAAAAAGAAAGGCAACTTTAAATAAACCAAGGATCTCATCAGGAAAGCAGCCTGGAAAAGAAATGATAGAACCAAATAAGAAAACTCAGACACAGCTAAAAATCCAATCCCAAGACCATCTTTAAAATTGCCTCTTTTCAGAATATTGATAATAATACTTATTATTTTTCAGGTGCTTAATTTTTCAAACAGCAACCACTTACGTAAACTGAAGCAGACTTAACGTTAAACATGCCTTCACCTGAATAATACCGTTATTACAGTCTCATGAGGTAGGCTGCTTTTTCCTCCTGTGCTTAAGGCAGGTCTCAATTCCGTAACAGACACAAATACATGAAACTGCTTATTCTGATGCACCAAGAAATTCTTATGTTGATTATAAGGCTTCTAAGCCATATTGATATTCTTCAACATGAGATGCGAAGGGTTTAAGCCTACACAAACAGCTTGTCTTTATGGCTCCCACAACAAGCACTTAAATTTGAACATTGGTGCCGCAAACCAGAGGTCTTGGGCATACAGAGAGAACAGCAACTTCTAGGTGTGGAATCACAACATTCTGAGTGGAGTAATGTGACACTAAATGCTTGCTGTAATTATGCCAAAAATGTTTCAATAACAAGGTACAAAAAGCCTTCCTTCTTACATGTGATCTTCAGTTTTCTACCAGATCTCTAAATAAATAAAGAGAAGCATCTCCAGTGGGAGATTCCTAATCCCTCTGGAGAAACCCCAGATCATTTCCATTTAAGGCCATGTAAGCAGCAGCTGCACATATTTGTCCCTTGAAGAAAAAGGAAACCGACCCAAAGTTTACACACATATACTGTTTATATATATGCAAGCATTCAAAGTCATTTAATAATTTTCTGTTTTTTTCCCAAGAAATTAAATGTATGACATCTTTTCTGAATTCATGACTCATCTTCAGAAAGTTGTTTTCTCTCTTTTCCATAAAATGTAGGCTATACACACATACCTTTTGCAAATAGCAAATGTAGTAACGGATGGGGAACTTTTATTTGCAATCTACTCCAGGAAGTAGGTCTGGATAAAACATTAACATTATATGTCAGGTGATAAGAGAATAGTTATGCAGGCTGATGTTATGAAATATTTACAACACAGGCATATGTCAGTAAACAAAGTCCCTGACAAAGAAATGACTTTTTACAAAGTTGTTTTATGCCTGCCCAGCCCCTATTCTTCCTTGTCCTCTGCCCAGTGAAAAGTTTTTTAGTAGCCCTGGAAATGGGAATGACAGCTGGAAAAACAAAACTTTTACTGTTGGGTTCCAGAATCATATCTGTAGTAAACAATGCAATAAAGCTTGAACAGTGAAGGAACAAGATTCAGCTCCACAATCCAACTGTATGCTTCCTTTCAACAAGTAAGGAAAACAACATCTGCATTTGGAATTCATTCCTGGGCATACGTAAGCAAAAAAAGAAGAAAAGAGAGAGTAGATATGCCTCACCAGCTTCTTCAAGCCTATTCAAAATGCATGAATTTATAAATTTGACTACCAGAATAGAATTTATTAGAAAAGTGGGGGCTGGTGAATAAAAAAATATAATCTCTGGTTGAATTTTGGAAACAGTCTTTAGATTCCAAATGCTTTTAGAAGATTCTAAATGATTTTTTTTAATCCGTGTAAAGGCTTACCTTGATCTGGTTGTTTTATTTCATATGTGCATATCTTTAGATCTGAATATAAAACAAGCTGAAATAAGTCCAAGCTACTTTTTTTTTTGTACTGTATAGGAAACTATCCCTATTATTTTTTTGTTTTTTCTGTCTCTGGTACCAAAACCTACTCCCAACCACTGAAGGCAGACAGGGATCTTTTGGAAACCTAGGGCACCAGATCTAAGTCCTGAGAGGTCAATGAATCTTTTGAATGTTTGAATGGAGACCTACCCATGGCTTCTCTAATCACCACAATCAACTGCAGGATGGCAAAGTGTTTCTAAAACTACAAAAAACTAAAAACTAAACAAGTAAGATGGGTTACTAAAAAAAATTCAGCTGTAGGTGTATATCTTCATAGATTATTTAGGATCTGAAAATGCGTGGGTGTGGAAGAATGCCCTAGCAAGTTAATTTTATTGGTACAACAGCTGATAAGTAAGACAAGGTGTTACAGATCTGCAGTTGAACACTTGCAAGTTCACATATGTATGACTGATCAATCACAAACATCATTTATTAATTTGTGAGGGAAGGCCTGGATCAAGTTACTTCTAAGTGACATAAACAGAACTGGCTGCAAGGATCATTGGTTTGAGGTCTGGCATGTAGGCATGTACATCTAGGACTGGTACTTGGGTACTATTATTTTTCACAATATGGTGAATTCAAGTCTTCTGATGTACTGATGCCTTGTGCCAACATACTAGAATATATGGCACAGCCAAACAAATTCAATCCATTTGCCAAGTTTCTGAGTCTTATGGACTAAAACATTTGCTTTGCTTCTCAGTACATCAAGGTTTCCAAGGCCATTCACAACAGATCAAAACAGATCAAAAGTTCAATGTATTGTCGAAGGCTTTCATGGCTGGAATCACTAGGTTCTTGTGGGTTTTTTCGGGCTATAGAGCCATGTTCTAGAGGCATTTCTCCTGAAACGTTTCTCCTGGCATTTCTCCTGAAACGTCAGGAGAAATGCCTCTAGAACATGGCTCTATAGCCCGAAAAACCCACAAGAACCTAGATCAAAAGTTATTTAATAAGAAATGAAAAGAAATGTAAAGACGTGTTTTAAACACACACACAACAAAAAAGATCCCGAAGTCAACTCTGGTTTTAGGGATCAAAGGCCATACAAAACATGGCAGGCTTGGGTTGTTGGTTCAAATAAGATGGAGCCAGACTATCTTCTCATAGGAGGGAAGCGTGCAAGAGAAGTGCTACAGCCAAACAAGTCCTGTCTCATATAGTCACCAACGTAGCAGTCTCTAGGTGGTGGTACATGCAAAGAATCTCCACAGAGGAACTCCTATTCTAAGCAGGCATCTAAGTTTGAAATGTGTGCATGTATTTAAGGTGTGCAGAACCACTTCAGGTTGGGTGGGGGGACACTTGTTATAGGCCAGATGTTACCTAAGATCTTGGCCAGATGTTACCTAAGATCTTGGGATTAGAGCCAAAGTGCAAAATTAGATTTTGTTTCTCCTCTTTTTTCTCAGCTCTCAGCTTATTTATTTATTTATTTATTTCCTATATTTATGCCCCACCCTTCTCCCCTCAAAAGGGGACTCAGGGTGGCCTAACAAAAGCATCATACAATGCTACCATCATAAAAACATTAAAATATTAAAAATTAAAACAACAATTAAAACAATTAATTAAGGCACATCCATTAAAATCGAAATCCAAAAACCAGTCCGGGTCAATTCATTGCCATAAGTTGTGTGATCTTCTTCCACTTGCTGCTCACTGATCAAATGCTTGGTCCCATAACCAGGTCTTGATTTTCCTTCTAAAAGACAAGAGGGAAGTGGCTAATCTGATATCTCTAGGGAGGGCATTCCATAGGCGGGGGACCACTGCTGAGAAGGCCCTGTCTCTTGTCCCCATCAACCGTGTTTGCCATAGTGGTGGGATCGAGAGCAGGGCCTCTCCTGAAGATCTTAAACTTCATGATGGTTCATGGCAGGAGATACATTCGGACAGGTAGTCTGGGCCAGAACCGTTTAGAGCTTTAAAGGTTAATACTAGCACTTTGAATTGTGCTCGGAAGCTGATCGGTAGCCAATGGAGTTGGCGTAACAAAGCAGTTGTATGTTATCTGTACGTCGCTCTGGTGAGCAACCTGGCTGCCGATTGTTGGACTAGTTGAAGCTTCTGGGCAATCTTCAAAGGCAGCCCCACGTAGAGTTGGGTCAGTGTAGCCAGCTTTGCTCCTCCTATTTATTCAATGCACTATCAGTAGTCAGAGGTGATAGGAGCTGTTCTCTTTTCATTTAACTGGAGGTAGCAAGGCTTTGGGAAGACAACTCATAGCACAAATTAAGTCCTCAAGAGTATTGCCTTCCCCCATTCATTCAAAATCACAGCAGCAGTACAGAGCCAACTGCATGGTATGGTGAACTACGGTCTTGTCCACTGAGCTATCTCATGATCACCAGTAGCACCTGTAAGAGCAAAACATGTGTTTGGGTTTTTTAATATTCAAAATAGTTTTACAGAACAGAGGAAATACAACTGTAGTTGTTGTGTGCCTTCAAATCATTCCTGATTTATGACAACCCTATCACAGGATTTTCTTGGCAGAATTTCTTTCACAGAAGATTTGCCCTTGCCTTTCTCGACTGAGAAAGTGTGGCTTGCCCAAGGTAATCAAGAGGGTTTCTATGGCATAGCAGGTATTTGACCCCGGTGTCCCTGCCTAACACCCAAGCCACCACACCACACTGGCTCTCAAGAAATAAGAAAAGGTATTCTAGTATTCATCACAATTAGAACTTATACCATAAAACTAGAAATGACTCTGTCACCACCTGTATTATTGGTGAAATCCATCATCATGTCTTTGTTCATATTTCTTTAATTTACAAGAATATAAATGGCTTTTCATCCTCTTCCACTGATAGTTCAAATATTAAACATCACTGTTCTAAATGTGGCTGGCCCTGTAACGTCCCTGGTCTTATAAAGGCTCTTCTATAACCAATCAGCAGAGATACATTCCTGAATGACATCATGAGCCCTGCCTATGAAACTTTTGTTATTTTTTCCCTCCAACAACTTCAGTTGTTCCCACAAAGCCGATGACAGAGAACGCCTTTCCATATCCCAGGAAATAGCATCATACAATTAAGTAAAACAGTTCCTGAGGTAAGAGCATTTGCTTTATTACTAACACACTAGGAGTTGTGTATTTCTAAACTACCCTATTAAATCTATAGCTTTTGTTGAGAAAAAAACAACCTGATACAAAACTCCGACCAGTTGCCTTCTATATCTCTGTAGATTTATCTTGTAACATACAGACGTAACAAGTACTTCTAAACGGCATGTATGTCTCTGAAAAAAGAGGGAAATTGGGAAGAGGGGGGCAGGAGCATGGTATAAAAATTAAGTAAAGCTGTATTTTAGCACTTTTTTTCTTTAAGGAGGGCTATTAGATATCATCACATTCACAATAGCAGAAATACTTAATATTGCTCATCTTCTTTCTGGGCTCTCAATTTTTTGTTGCAAATCAATATGGTAATACATTACCTTTTTATTTATTAATTTATTATTAAAGCATTTATATTCTACCCTTCTCACCCCAAAGGGGACTCAGAGCGGAGCACAACATATAAACGGCAAACATTCAATGCCGAAACATAACTAGACTATACACATACATAAACATTAAAATCAGTTATCTCAACATTTCTTCTTGGTAACTGACTCACTTGTAGCATTAATTGTTATTGTTTGGGGATTATTATTTTTTACCACAACAATATATTTTATACAAATATTGTCTGGGATCCAGACAGTAACGTAAGGAAACCCAGATTTCCTCATGTTTCATGGATTTTTTCTTCCCCTCCCTTTGAATATCACATCTACTGCAAATAATCATATGGGAGGGATGGTATTTAAAATACAGAAGCCCAAAGGCTTTCTTGTCACACAGATCTAGTAGCCTAGATTATGGATTGTAACCAGCAGCTGCAAGTGGGAAAAATCCCAATAAAGTCACCTGGATGGAAACACTTCAGTGTTGTGCTGTCTTGCAACTAATGTCATAAACAAGCTATATATTTCAACAATTGTCTGCATACATATCATACAATATAAATTGATAACTGTATGAATAATGTATGCTTTTCTCAACCAACGAAGTGATTCATTAAAAGTGCCTCCTAATTATAAACCTAATTATAATCATAAATAAAAATAGGGAAAGCAGAAAAACTGATTAAGTCTCAACAATAGAAAGGCAGGCAAGCATTCAAATCCATTTACAAAACAATCTTTATATGTGTTTGCTTGGAAGAAAGTCTGATTACATTCAAATACATGTTATTGAAATATAAAATGTATAAAGGATTGCAGCCTTGGAACAGATACATATTATTACTGGGCCAATAAAAAACTATTCTAAGAAAAAGGAAACGCTGAGCATTTCTGAAACTTATCCCAATAAAATGCAAACACCTTTCTGCCCCCTGTTGCAAGATATGTGACCAGTCGCATAAATTAATGTACTGAAAGGTCACAATAAGCATGCCAGGAGTACACTACTGCTGTTACAATAGAAAACATAACTGAAAACCATTCCAAAATTATAGAATTGTTATTAAATTGTTAATTGTTATTAAAATTTCAGTGGAATATGCTTATTTTCCCCACACTTAAACTAACAAAATCTGATCCACTTCCACAAAGACATTCCTATTAAGATATAAAAGAACCAAGAAAGAATCACTGCAATGATAAAAAAATTAATGTTTTGATTTCTTACCCTGATATTTTTTTAATGGATAGCTGTTTCTTTTAAAATATCAGGGAAAGATACCAAAGCATCTCATTTTTACAGATGGTGATGGGTAAAATCTGAGCCAATGCTTATTCTGAGCCAAGATCTATTCTTTCCTAGATAGTCCCTATGAGCTAGCTCAACATTTTAACAACTTTTAATAGGTGTGTAGAAAACAAATCACTCTGAAGCTTTTCTCTTTGGAAAAAAAAAAACAAAAAATCCTCCCTGTTCTTATTTTATCATGATGACACAGAGTGTTTTTCTACAGTCACATGAAAACTACAGCTTTGCCCTAAACCACTACGATTTTCTCTTAGGAATTTACGCCAGCTTCTTTTATTATTGTATTTCACCTTCTTTTTAGGTGTGCCACTTGAGTGCCCTCAGTCCCGTTCTCCACAAGTCCTCACATCTTTCTGTTATCAAACTTTGCCTCCACAACCACACTGGTTTTTTGTTTTTTTTTACAAGAGTCTTCTGAAATATCCCCGTTACTTCGATTTTATTAAGCTTTTTACCTGTTTATTTCCTGTCCCTTATAACTGATGCTTCCACGGTGCTCATGGTGATGCGTTTTCCCACAGAATTACCACCAGGCTCTTGACTGAACATCTCTTGCTCATCCCAACTGATCTAACTAGTGCCACTGCCTACATGAAAATTAATCATGTTTGTTGTCATTTATCCAACACATATGGGAGTCAGATAACCTGGGAATATACAATTAGGAAATTGCTAGGACAGAAGAGTTACTTTTTTCAAATTACAGTACACGCAGACCTCTGTATCCATAGATTCGGTATCCACAAATTTGACCACCCAGAGTTTGAAAACATATAAAAAGATTCAATCATCAGTAGCTTGAAAAATATATATAAAAAGAAATCCAAACAGCAGACTTTGATTCTGCCATTTTATATAAGGTACATCACTGTATATAATGCGATTTGAGCATCCACGGATTTTGGTATACGCAGGGGTCCTGGAACTAAACCCTATCAGACACCAAGGGTCCATCATATGCTGAACCGTTATTATAGTAGTAGTTAGACCATAGGTCTTTCACATATAGGACAAACAAATACATAAAAACCAGATTATTAAATACAATATAAAATACACCATTAAAGACTATTTAAACCATTAAAATGCTATATCTATCAATGAGTTCTATTCTTTACAATCTGCTGCTTTGGGACAGCATTAGCAGTACACTGGGGACCTCTAGTGGTATATTGGGACACTATTAACTAAGATCTTGCTTGGAAGAAAACTATCAAACAAGGAGTCTTGTGGCACCTTAAAGAGGGAAAAAGTTATCTTTGGCATAATCTATTGTGAAACATGTTTTCCCAGGATCTCATACTGTTCTCTACACCTCCCTTCCTTTCAACACCAGTGACCCCTTTATTGTTTTTTAAAAAAACACATTTCTTTTTCTATCCTAACCACCACCCTTGAAAAAAGTTTGACTTGGCAGTAGTTTTTGTGGGTTGCAATCCATGGAAACATATGAAAAATAAGGTCTGACATTCTTTAAAAGGGCCAAAAGATTCTCTGCCTGTTTTGTTAACCTAACACAGTTCCTGATGGTCTAGCCCTCATTGGAAATTTCTTGTAAAACAATTTTATTTTTCCAAAACAAAAGTGACATCACTGAAATCTTAGACATTTTAGAATGTTTTATAAATTCAACAGGTTTGTCTTCTTATTTACTTAACAGCATTTCTGCCCAAAATTGGATAAACTGCTTTCACCTCAAAACTAAAGCTTTTTGGGTACTTCAAAAATACAACCTAAAACCATAGCATACATTAATATAATTAAAAAAAGATGAATTATAAAGCAGATTAAAACAGCCTAATGATAAAATGAAAGAATATATACATTTAAAAAGGGACAAAAATATTTCAGCTGGGTGCAACATGATCTGTTATAGAGTGCCTTTAATGGTCGGGGCTCCACAGGCAGCACACTGCTTCACTGTGAATATCCAACACATTATGGTTTTATGAGTGAATTGACTTTATGTTTAAGTTGTGTTTTTGGAAAACACAAGCTAAGGATTCCAAGTCCATCACTGCTTTGTGTTTTGAGCATATGTTAATCTAAATTCTTGAACAAATCCAGGGGCAATGATCCCATGCAGGGAATGAAATGTCCTCTGTCAAGGAGTGCCATGGGAGTGGACAGAAAGATGAAAGAAAAAAAATAGGGTGTGAATCCAGAAGCAATATATTTTTGAAGTGCTGGCTCCAGCAAGGTGGTCAGCATAAAGAGGATCGCATGTTCAAAATATTATGTTTCTGTTACAAAATATAGTGTTCACAAGATGAAGCAGAAATAGTATGGCTTCTTATTATTTTGGCCTTTCCTTGCCAAATGTATCTGAATAAAAGAGGGTGGAAAATTTCATGGAATAATTCCATTTTAAAACATTGCAAGAAGTGAAGAGTATCCGCATTTTTAGTAAGGCTGCCAGTTCAAAAAATGGAGATATGCAACCATTTCTGTTAACTAGTTATGAGACAGGTCTGTGAAGTGTCAAGCCATGTTTAACAAATGTGTTTAATCTGCTAGTACTTAATTCAGTATAGCTTGCTTGGAGCAAGATAAACATTTTCAAATATTGCAGTCCATATTTGGCTAGAAGGAGGAATACCATTTTTACCAAGTCCCTTGAGAACACTTGTGTCTGCCTTGTTATTACAGTGTCTATTCCTGAGAAATGTAAATCCCCAAAAAAGAACCACACATGGTGTCAGTTAGGCAAATATTTTAATGGCTAATGGTCTCCTGCCTTTCATCTATCCAGAATCAAACTGAGCTAAAAGTAATGGATATACACGATGAAATTGTGGAGTGCATTTATATAAAACATTCCTCCAGAAGTTGTGACCTAAGGTCAACACAGCTCACCAAATATGTATTTGGGACTGCTAGGTGCCTGACAAACCTCCCTGTTCTTGTAGGCATACAGAACAGGGGACATATGTAAGCTCTCTAAACAACTCATTACAAACTATTTTGTGGGCTTGGTTTATCAAAACAATAGCCGGAGTACTGTTTTGTGCATGTTTATGTACACCTACAAATAGACATTCTTCTCAAATATGGAAGATGGATGTGCATGTACATTTTGCATGATTAGCATCACATATGGTGCACTTTGCACCTGGAGATGTGCATGCACATTTGGTTGCATAATACTAAAATTCACTAATGAGGTAATGTTGCATAATTGTTGCCTAACCCCCTAGATTATGCTCCATTGTCCCCATGGAGAATTGTGGCCTTAGTGTGGCAAAGATCTAATCTCCATCTCGATCATTTTGTACACTATTTGCAAAAAATGTCTGGCTATGCCTTATGATTCTCTGTAATGGGTTTAAGAATGTACACAGAAGTTACATCTGGGGATAGATTTGTGTCATATATTCAAAATATGTGTGTCTGAGTTTTCACTGGGGGCACATGATAGCTGGTACATGGTAAAGGCACACAAGAAAGCTGCAGTCACCTCTGCTTTTGAAAAAGCCTGGGAAATTTACTGAACGACACATAGACTTGCTGTTAAGATTGTTTTTGATGATAAAAAATATCTCAGAAGTGAAAGGTCATGTATTTTGTTTCAAGCAGTGTGTCCACTCTGAAGTAATCTGCACTTGCACTAGCCAAAGCACTGTTTGCTATGTGTCTAACACTTCACTCTCCTGCTCTCCCTAGCTCCACAAAGATTCTTAATCCCCCAAAGAGAAGATCTTAAGCACTTTGCACTGTCCCTGAAAACCTCGGCTTCCTAAAAAACATTCTTTATTAAGTATCTGCTTTCCTGTTGCCATGGAGAAGGTGCAGTACATGACCCGCTCTGCTCTGAGGAGAGCCTCAACTATTGAGGTCAACCCACAAACCCGTCAAAGGCTTCAGGAGCTCTTTATAAATTTTTGCCTTATCTTAATATGCCTCTTGCTTATCTGCATCATTGTGATGCTTCTCTGAAACCCAGCATATTTGATTCATCTTCACTCCATTATGAAATGGAAAAAGCACGTCAAAGGGGGAAAAGAACCGAGCAAGAATCTTCCAGAACAAGGACATGCTTGCAAGGAAGTCCACCATTTGGACTAAGCAATGTCTCATCAACTGCACAGTTCACTTATCAACCATTGTAACAGAATTAAAATCACCTGATCTGGACAGCAATTTTGACACCTACTGTCACAAGGCTATGCATGAGCTAAATCTTACTTGCCCTGCTAAAAAGGAAGTCTTCTGTGAAAGCTGCAGTCCACTGTGTTTGGTTTGTTTGTTTTACTGAATTGATGTGTTAGTAAAAACAGCTATAAAATGTTTAGTAGAAACCATAAACGTTTGGTACCAAATGGTAAATCTGAACTACGAAAACACCAAGGTCAGCCATGAATGAACTATTAATAGGTATACTATATATTCTAGAAACACCCTTGAGCAGTCTGTTTTAAGAATGTGATTATCTTGATTTTAAATTCAAGCTGTTAACAATTTTGTTCGATCATATTTTCAACAGAAACTCTGAAAATAATGTTAAACATCTGAAAAATAAAAATATTAAAGTGAAGTTGATTATTCACTTTAATCTATCATCAATTATTCTCAAGTTCAAAAATCAGAACTAGGACCGAGATTGTGCTCAAACACTATTATGGCCTTTATGTTACTTGCAAAATCAGATATTCTTTTTCAAAGTGTGATAGTGAGAAACCGGTGAAAGACACTACTTGATAATGTATAACACGTAGAGATTTTAACATTGTTTTTTGTGGAGATTAAACCAAGCAATATGTAGTAAACCTAACTTCCCAAATGTAAAATTGGGAGACTGCATAAACAGCCAAATTAATGTTTCCCATTTTTGCAGGACTCAATAGCAGTTAAACCAAAAAACTATTGCCAGTCCACAATGCCTCTTGCACTTTGGTCACATCTTTTTTATTTTTCCCATAAAAGTGGAGTCCAGAGAACTTAAGAAACTGTAAGATCTTTATTTTACAGAACAGTAAAACACCATATTTGTTTGAATCTAATACTCACCTTTTGGGGCTAAGTTACATAACTAAAAGTGAGGTGTGCGTTATATTCAGTGGCATGTTTGAACTGCAAACAAAAACTGACCTGCGCCCATCCATTAGGCCAAGGCTTCCCAACTGGTCTCATTCATGAAGCCTTCAAAACCTCCCCCTTGGTTATGATGGGAAGCCGCTGCCCGTCTAACAGGCCAAGGCTGGCAAGTTCACCAGTGTTGTCCCGTGAGAGGGGCATGACTTCTCTTGCCCATAGGCCATTCTGAGGCAGACTGCAGAATGGCTGGCAGGGAAGGGGAAAACCACGTATTACAGCTGACATTTATTTATTTTTTTGCTTTGTGCATTCTGAAAATTGAGGTGTGCATTACAATCAATGGTGCATTATACTTGAGTAAATATGGTAATTTTGGATACATTTTTTTAAATAAAAAAGAGGTGTACAAATAGGGTGACACATAGCCAGTGATGCAGGGGTACAAAATCAGAGGCTATATTTTTTCTTTGGAAAATCTTTCATATCAAATATTTATATTCCAGTCTCCCAAATCAAGGGATGCCTGAATTGTTTTCTTGTTAATCATTCATGTCAGATGGACTAAATTATAGGATATGATGATCTAGTTATTCTTTGGAGGGGACAAGTATTTACAAGCCCTAGCACTGAGAGGACTAGACTAACAAATGAATGCAATGCTATGCTTGTTACTATTTCACTGAATCTCTTGCTTCTCAGTCAGTTACTAAGTACAAGAACTCAAGTGGTAATTTAATTTGCCTGTGCTCACAGACTGAAAAACATTAACAAAATGTTTAAGTAGTTCTACTGAAGTAGTTTTTCCTGAACTTAAAATGGATATGTAGTAAGTGAGTGAAGCTGAAGGTACTTTACTTATATCTCAGCAAATAAAAGTGAAAACTGTTGATATGGCATGCTCTCTTTGGGCTTGCTAACTTTTAAAAAGTATTATTTCAGGTATAGCCATGTTTGTGATATATATGGGAAATATACACTTTTCTCTTTACGTTATTAAAAATATTACAATAAAATAATTACTATAAAAAGCTTTGAATGTGTTTGAATGTAATATTTCAGTAAAATGTCCTAAATCAAATAATATTTAGTTACACTTTTTTTTTTGCAACATGGACACCATGTGCATATCTGATGCATTTATAATACTTCCACTCTCTTAACATGGTTAGGGAATATAAATTAAACTACAAGGTTTTGTGTTCACTATTCTCCTCTAAGACAAATTTTCTTTCTAACCTCAATCTTGGTTAAAGCTAAACTAGGCAATGAATTTAATAATAGTTGATATTAAATGAATTTACTAATAGCCAAAGCTTTGGGAAAAAACCAAACCCTGGTTCATTAAAATAGTGACGGTTCATTAAAATAGTTTGACTGCTAAGGACAGTTCATGCCAAGAGGGGAAAGTAATGGGGAAAAGAGGTATATGGTAGAGCAGTCAACTTCCTTAACAACAGTCAGTGGAATGAAACTATCAGATATACATCAATCTGTTGTGCCTTCTCATAACCAAGCCAGTTAGTGGTATCACTTGGTCAGCTGAATGCATGAAAAATCCATTCTCAGATCAAAGTTATCCAGTATATATGTGTGTGTTAACAGCATGAAATCACAGACCGAATTTTCTTATCATTTCTATTAGTATTTGTGCAATCATTTTAACTGTATATGGTATGTTATCACTTTTACTGATATATGGTAAGAAGTAAGAATGTCTAATGGTTTATATGATCAAAGTTGTTAAATATGTTAAGAACATTTTCTTCATATAATTATGTTACATATGAACTGTTTCCACCTTGTTGAAAAATAACAATTTCTTCTTAAAATAAAGATGAAGGCTAACTGATTAACAAGATGCTTTGGGGTTATTTCACAATGTTTTAATTTTAGATAGCAAATAAATTAAATATAATTTAGTGAATTTAAAACAAAATGAGTTTGATAATTTTCAAAGCAAAATTGGAAGCACACCTCTTTGATGAGTGGGAAGGGGGGAGGTCATATAAAGCTCCCAGACCTTGGGAAAGTACTTGTGGCCATCTGTGTCTTCTATGTTGTCAACACAAAAGACAAGAGCTGGGAACAGGAAGATACCGCTTAATAGTCAATATTATCTAGTGAAAGCTTTGAGAAAATATCTTGTTCTGAATCAAAATCCTCCATCTTTCCATGACAAATCAGTTAATATAGACAGGTGTAATCAAATATTGGTTCTAACTTGGTAGGCAAGTCAGAACTTAGTGATCAAGTCTCCACACTACCATCTTTAGCACAATCCTATGGATCTTAATGTAGAACTTGACGACTATATTCTATGGGATTTAATTCAAAATAACATGGGATTATAACCTCATAGATTTTCCACTGAGAGCATTAACAATGGGGTTCTTGCTTTTCCAGATCCATACTATTATAGCTGAAGGAGAGGTTGAGTCTAAAGACTGAGGGAAAGACTGGGGCTTAATTTGACAGTGAACATGAAATGTGTCTCTCAGCCAATCACTATCAAAATGTCCAGTCCAAGCTTCCCTCTAGAATTAGACACTGGGGATTTTTGTAAAAGCAGGAGATTCAACCACCTCTGTTGTTCACCACCAAAGCATCTGATTCTAGTCTTCCCTTCTGAAACCTGAATGAATAGCTGAAATCAGAATGGAAAGCATTTCAAGATGGCCCATCTCAAACTCTTATTTTAGAACTGGGAAGGGAACTGCCATTCACTATCCATCACAAGCTCATTCAGCCCTATTCTAAACTACATGATAAAACTGAAAGTCTAGTCCTCTTTGATAAAGTATAATAGACAACTTGTCAAGGTGACTGTGACAACTGGAAATATGGACAGGTGAATAAACCTGAAATGTGACATGGAGATAGAAGCAAATACAATAGCAGATATCTACAGAGGAGCAGTCACTTTTTAGGCACACAAATTAACTTTCAATACTAAATTTAGTTAATTTTTAGTTGGTTAGTTTGGCTTTTTCCTAAGATGTCTCTTAAAGTCAATAAATTAAAAACATTCACAATAAAATGTTAAACTAATTAAAATTAAACAATTACATGTTCTCTGAATAGTCAATGTTATTTAAAAATGATAGGAGATTCAAATAACTGAAAACTTCTGGAGCACCTTTGTGTTATTATTAAAATTAAAAATATATTTCAGCACACACACAATGATAAAAATATGGAATTATTCGATTAATTGCAAAAATTAAACAATATAAGTAAACAAACTGCTCCTTATTAAATGTACCAACATTTGTTACCACATGCTACTGAATTCTTTGTATCATCTCTTAAGGCTGGTGTTTTGTTTTTAGTGATATAAGGAATTGGCTTTAACCTCTGTTGCTCATCAGCCGTTTTGTCTTAGGTGAATGTCAAGACAGGAGTCATGAATTGAAGATGTGATATTCAAAGCTGCAACCTCAATCTATTGCTACTGAAACTGAGCAAGGCTGAAAACTACAATTAAGGCTTCTGTTCAAGCCACTCCTCAAAATGGATCTTTCTACAAATAGAGGTCTCAACCTATTACTCAATTTCCTGCTTATTTTCTTGGTTCTTGTTGTCATGTACATCCTTGTGAAGTTGATGTGAATTTTTGGTCTAAGACTTACACACCACCATGACAACTTGAACCTTTAAACTACAAAACAAGCAAAAATTGGAAAACTCACGACCCAATAACCTGCTGGTTGGGGCAGCTTTCTTTCTTTTTTTTTTTTAAGGCAAATTAAGAATAAGAATTTGTTGGTGTGCATTTTTGTAACAGGACAAAATAAGAATACAGTGTAGAAAAGCGACACCTTCACGTTTTGGAATTAAAATAAGCAACTTCAGTGATCTATATTTAAGTATCTACTGATCAAAAAGCGGATTTTGGATTTTAGTCCCGACAGACTTTCAAGCAGAACGGGGAGGAAAAAACTACATCACCACAACCTGAAAAACAATGAAAGAGAAAATGAAACAGCAAACATGAAATGTCCATCAAAAGAAGATAACGACGGCAGAGTTATGTAAATAAAAATGTAATCTCCTGTGACTTTGATCTGGGGGGAAGGGAGGAAAAATAGTCATTACAAAATGTACAGAAAAATACTTAATGACAACAAGTAGGCATCCTCATTCAGAAGCAGGCCTCACCACAGGCAACACTAAGCTTTACTCCATATATACTTGGGGATAAAGCCCACTAAACAGAAGTGAAACTTACTATAAATATCTATATGTAAGTCTAGAAAAACTGTGTGATTTTCCATGGGTCAATAACTACTGTGCCTTAACGTTGAAAAAAAAAAAGAACCACACCCTTCTCTTGAGTGTTTCTTTTAGGTTATCCTGGGATGTACTAAGCTGTTTTCTTTTATCACACTAAGAGAACAAATAGCCCCTTTTTTATAAGAGTTAATACAGCACCTTAACTTTTGTCAAAAAAGAAACCATCACCTTTTCTGAGTAGACTGATGAAAAGCCTTTTTAATGCCTGGGTGGGAAAATGACAGTAGTGGTGGCCAGGGGTAACTGGCCTCATAGAGACGCTGGTGCTTTCCTGTCTCTGTGGAATGACTTATCCATGGGTCACATCAAAATTCATAATTTTGGCCTCAAAACAGGTCTTCAACTTCTCTATTAGTATATATGGTGCTTACAAACAAACAAACAAACATGAAAATGATTTTAAGAAGATATGTATATTCCACAACAACATGCTAATTGTGACTAAAAATATCCTCTTAATAATATACACATTAAGTTATTCGTAACCTTATGTTATGAAGGTCATAAACTCAAGCCCACACTCCAAATCTAGGCCATTCCCTCTCCTTATTTTCAGACCAAGTTTGATTCCATCTTTAGCTTCATAGGCCTCCCAAACTCTAGAAGATAGTATTTTACAGAGTACACATCATAGTGGGTGTACTTAAGAGTTCCTTTCTATTGGCTGCTCTTTGATCTGATGTAAATACAGACATGCAATTATTATTTTAAACAAATCCTTTAAAAATTCTGAATGCAGAAGTCTCTACACTAAAATACTACCCAAAAAAATTCGCTAATCTGTTGTAAGGTCATGTAGAGCCCAATTGTACACTTCTGGATCTTCAAGGTCCCTGCACCCTCCTGCAACTCCCATGTATCAGAAAGTGCTGCACTGGAAAATTGAGAAACCATCAGCAGATTTTAGGCAGAAAAACGCAGTAATAGGATGAAGGGAAGAAATTTTAGTTCTGCTGCCACTAGATACTTAAGTATACTGTTGAATCCTGTCCAGTTTCATTTATAAAACCACTACGTTTCACAAATGTAGGTATTTTTGCACCTACTCCTTTAACATCAGAAACATGACAGAACTCTGGATGCATACAACAAAGACTCAAACATCCCCCATTGCCCATGCTTGAAATCCTTTTACCTGTGTGTTTAACTCTTTTTAAAATATCAAACTTACATAAGAAACATCCTCAGTATTTATCATTCGTACCGATTTTGCTTTAGTTCCCAAGGTTTAATCTAGTCTCTAATAGTTAAAAGCTAAGGAATAATTAAAACCACTTAACTAGTTATTTCTAAGCCACATTGTTTTGTCAGTCATTGTTGTAAAAAATAGAAAGGTCACACTTAGCAGAAAAGCTATATATACCCATAGATATAAAACAATTATCAGAATGTACTGCTGTTAATGTAATTTGCCAGTATTAAGAACTGCATCAGTTTAAAGAAATAAAGATGGAAATAATCTTAATACATGAATTTTATTAAAGAACGAAAATTGAGGTTATGTGATTCTTTCTTTCTTCTTATTGTTGTTTTCTTCTCCACATCCAGAAATATTGAAGATGTTTTGTTTTGTAAGCTCATGATCCCGTATAATAAGAATGAATGCAGTCCCATTTTATTTCAATTAAAGCTTTTGCAATATTTCAATTACAATGAATAAAAGTCTTTATACAACAGTTATGTACTAGACTGAACACTAGGGAGAGCCACTAGTCTTAGTTATCAATATATTGTTTGATACATCAGTGCATCTGAGGAAGTGGTCTGGAATCCACAAAAGCACATACTAAAATAAACTGGTGTCACAAGATTCCTCCTCCCCTCTATTCCTTACCAAAGCAGACTTAACCAGGCTATGCTCTTTAATACTGTATTATATCATTTCTTTTTCTATCCACTTGAGGGCAGTAAATGCTGCTTTTAAATTCTTACCTGAACATGATGCTCACTTCCCGTTCTAAATTCTTCAAGCTGCTGTAACTGCCAAGAAGGTAAACTGTATGACTCCTCAGAAGACCTAGGCTCTGGTGGGTTTGTATGAAATTGTTCTGTAAGCCACCGCTGAGTCCTCTCAGAGGGCTGAATGGGAAGTCCGCTCACAGCCTGTGCCCCCAAAGTTATATATCCAGGATGGAAAGCCTCACAGTTTGATATAACAGGCTTGCTTTCAGGTAAGGCACTATAGGTCATGTCTAAGGCATGTCTCCTGTTTGAGGGATCAGGAACTCCCAAGTCTTCTTTGCTGCAACTTTCAAATTTGTATTTGCAGTCCAGGGTAGAAGTTCTCATCTTCCCTGTTTCTCTGTCTTCAGTTTTGAGAACTTCCATACTACTGTGCAAGCAGCTTGTCCCATTTGTTCTTAATGGTGGTGACACAGTCTTGTCTCTTCCCATTTTCTCCATGCTGACCCTGCACTCTGCTGTGTAAATGCCCCCATCCTGGCTACAGCTCATAGACGGATTGAGCTTAGACAAAGATGACCATTTTCTTACAGGCCTCAAGTCCTTCATGTCAAGAGAGCTGTCCAAAATGCCCTGATGCCTACTTCCAGCAGACCTCAAAAGGCTTGTGCTCCATTTTGAACAATCAGTCTTGAGAAGTTCCCGATGTTTGGAAAGTGAAGCACTGGCATTAGTCGGCATCACATGGGCAGTGGGAATTGAGACCAGGGAGCGGCTGGGCTTAAACGAGGAGGTACCACTTGAGGTGGAATGATCTGGGGAGAGAGATTTTCAATGTGTGAATGAAGATAGTACTAACAAAAATAAGCCAACATTGCAGGCCACAATATACAATGTAACGTGATTTTTGTTCCTGGTTTATAAATGTCATTTCCTAATTGGTTTTAACATAAAAACATAGAAAACGTTTATTCAACCAATTCAACATAGTTAGTGGCAGCCACAAAAACCAAAGTTTCTGCAGTATAACAACTACTTTCAAAGTAAGTACCTCACAATAAAACAAGAAATAACACCTTCAAATCAGGAACATTTTTTTAAAAATTTTGTTACATAGATATAATGTGCAGGCACAGCTCAGAGCCGAGACTATTTACACCTACTGAATCTATATTTTTCAGACATTAGCTAATTTAAATGCATATTTTAATGACTCAAATACAAAACAACCAATTGCTGTCAATCTTCATTTTTTCTTCTTCTACTAGTATAGCAGCTGCAGCTCCTGAACAGATATAAACAATATTTACAATATTTTCTGTAGCAATGCTTATATACTATTTTCCCTGCTTATACGTGGCGGCATGACTGGGCATTATTTTACTGTTCAGATATTTACTTCATTGACAGCTAAAAGTTGCACAAAATGTCACTGATGAGATGGATATATGGTCTTTTTCTTTCTAGTTGCAATATACATTAGCAAACTGCATTCTTTCATTTATATGATCACAGGAGATGTTCAAATAGTTGCCCAGGATTAGATAAAGTTAGATCCTTACACCACAGGCAGACATCAGGGGCTGTTTCAAAAGGGCTCTTGGCCCCTCTACATTTCCCAAAATCCATTCTCCTGCTACCCCCAAAACTGTACTGCCTTCCCCAGAAGCCTACAAAAGCAATTTACCATTACAATACATTACAGGGCCCCTCTCCACTGTGTGTAGTATAGTATAGTATTTTCCTCTTGTACAACTACAACTCAAGATCCAAGCCACTGTCTTTCTTTTTCAAAGAAAAGAAATTAAAGTGAACCAAATTTAAAAGTGAAATTATAACCAACTGTAAGCAGTCTTGGGAGGCTTGGAGGGCATGCTTTGTGTCCCATCCCTCAACCCATCTCTGACAATCTATGCAGTATCTGGAAGATTCTAGGGCAAAAACCTGACCAAGAAACTGCAATGCCCCAATAGTAGACAGTGGCTTGGATCTTGAGTTGTTGTACAAGAGGAAAATACTATCACTGGACTTCCACGTTTGATCCTCACCTTAACGCTGCAACCCTCCCCTCCCCTTTCTCAAACACATGAGAAGGCTTCCTACACTGTCTGACAGAGCCTCTGCAGAGACTTTTATGGGCTGTAGAGAGCTGAACTGGGAACAGGGAGGCTTTATTTAATGGAACGTAAGTTAAGATCCAAACCTTTGTACTAGGAAAACTATGCAATATGCAGCAAAGATAGAGTTACTGCTTTGGCTTTCAGCACTCTGGCTCCATCTTGAATCTGAAATGTCAGTAGGCTGACAAAAAATCCCAATGTGCCAATGTTCCTAGACAGACAAGCAAGTTAAAATTAACAAAGGTGAGGCAGAGGTTATGGGAATTTGAGTAGCAGCTCTCCTATGCCCAGCAACTGCTGTTTTGCATCAGAGCCAGCAGACAAGCAAAAATAAGCAGCTAATCCTGGCATTAGAATCTTAGCCTTTACTATGGCACATGGCTCAACCTTCTCCCTAGCTGTTCACGTTGCTTCTGCATGCAAAGCTTTTTTAAAAGTCTTACTATTTCACTCTAATCATGGTTCTGGAGTTACATTGGTGGCTTTTTAAAGAAACTAGAAGTGGACAAACTAATGCAGCTCCACATGTTTTTGAATTCAACTTCCATTCCAACTAGCCAACTTAAGCAATGGTGAGGAATCCTAGGAACTTCAGTTTCACAACATCTAAAGATTGCCCACTGCAAAAAGCAGCACTATGGAAGATAGAAGTTTAGCAGTGGTTTTCTACATGTTTAGTAAATCCCATTGAATTCAAGCTAAGTTTGTATGTGGTTATACAATTCACTAAACTGAATGGAACTTCTGTCTGAGTACAAGTGGTAACCAGTGCACTGCAAAAAATGCATTGGCATGTATTGCAGCTGAACACTCATACCTTAAGTTTTCTCTTATTAGTCTTGTTAGAGAAGCAACCACAGCAGTTCTAGTTTGAATGCCAAACCATTTGAAAAGCACTGGATGGCAAGTAAAAGAAAAGGTCATAGTTCAAAGTCCCTCTTCAATCAGGACACTAAGGACATACAGAATATGGTTCTTTATGCCCTGCAATACACTGGTCTTTGTCAGAGCCACACATCCTGAAGTCTTTAGTAATTCACAGTTCCACCAAATAAGCAGGGTGAAAGAGAAGATGTTAACCTTTAATTAAATTTTTTGTTGATTAATCACACTGATCAATCAATTAAAGCTAGCAGCTTGTGCTTCTAATGCATGGCACGGGGACAGCAACAGTCCTATTATGTTTGTTGGAACAGAGGCAAATTCAGATATGTTACATGCATTGTTTGTAAGTTTAATTTCTAGTGCTTCATCTATTCAGCCATAATTAAATTAATGCCCTTGAGAAAATGGGCAAGTGTACACTTGGCTGGTTTTCCCCTAATTGAACTCAAAACATAGCAAGACAGTGAAACTGTTTCTATTCAAAGAGCTGTTTGCCAACATTCAGACTAATAAATATTTGGTTACAGGATTCTATTTTGCTTCAGAGTTCAATATGAGTATTCCTGTCACACAATTTAAGGGAGGAGATGCTTTAAGATTTCTCTATTCCTGTTTTTAAGTCAAATAATGCAGAATTTAAAACAATAAAACAATGTTCTGGTCATTTTCAAACTAAATAGAAATTATTTGTGATTTTAATGCTCACAATTAGTTATTAAGAAAGAATATAACAAAAAAAATCCCAAAGAATGTATCTGGTTTGGAATTATGCAAACCAATGTGAAGAGATGGGACCACCTGCCCACACTGTATAAATCTGAGATCAGTGTTTGGAGGCAACTTCTCCTCTATCTCATTATCGCCCTCTGGAGATTATGACTAGCAGCAATAGTGTACATGGTTGCTGTAAAACTACCAGATGTTCTTAATAAAAAACACAACATAAGCAGAAAACACAACTAGTTCCTTACATTCTTCTTGGTCCCAACTGGCTTTAATGTCAGAATGGAGAGGTCCTGTATAAACTAATGCTGCAACATTGCTGTGTTCCCAAAGTTCAGAAACAAAGTACTGGTGGTCCCTGAGTTATAAACATCCAACTTACAAACGACTCATAGTTACAAATGGGAATGAGATAACAGGACATGAGAGAAATCCACCACTAAAAAGAAAAATTCACTTCAATGGAGTTATCATGTCTCCACGCGTGGGTTCATAGACGGAGATGCGGTCACGCAGGTAGGGTGGTCCCAGACCGTTCAGGGCTTTGTAGGTAAGCACCTGCACCTTAAATTGGGCTCGGAAAATAAACGGCAGCCAGTGGAGCTCCTTGAACAGGAGGGTTGACCTCTCTCTGTAATGAGCCCCGGTTAACATCCTGGCTGCTGCCCGTTGGACCAGTTGGAACTTCCGAGCCGTTTTCAAGGGCAGCCCTACGTAGAGTGCATTGCAGTAATCCAATGTAGAGGTGAGCAAGGCATGGACCACCCTGGCCAGATCAGCCTTCGTGAGGTACGGTCGCAGCTGGTGCACAAGTCTCAATTGTGCAAAAGCCCTCCCGGACACCAACGACGCCTAAGCCTCAAGCGTGAGCGATGAATCCAAGAGGACTCCCAAGCTGCGGACCTGTGGCTTCAGGGGGAGTGTAACCCCGTCCAACAAAGGTTGCCACCCTATATTTATTTATTTATTTGCTGCATTTGTTAACCGCCGCTCTCAGCCCTAGGGCGACTTGCGGTGGTGTACAACATATTAAAAACATTTTACAATCAAGCCACACGAAAAAAGATCAACATATCAAATACACATTAATCTAAATTAATCTAAACTTACANTGGGGGACAGTATAGAGCCCTGTGGAACCCCACAAGTCAAAGGCTGTGGCGTTGAACAGGTGTCCCCCAATATCACCTTCTGGGAGCGGCCTTCCAGAAATGACCGGAGCCACTGCAGAACAGTGCCCCCGAGGCCCATTTCCGCAAAACGCCCCAGAAGGATACCGTGGTCGACGGTATCGAAGGCCGCTGAGAGGTCCAGGAGCACCAACAGGGACACACTCCCCCTGTCTAGCTCCCGGCGCAGATCATCCACTAAGGCGACCAAGACCGTTGTAAAGATCCCTTACCTTGCCAGCCAGGGTGGCAGGGCCCAGGAAGAGACAGGCTAGGTAGTTTCAGTTAGAAGGCCTGGCAGAGAGCTGCTGGAGCCATCTTAGTTTAGGGAAAGAGCTCCAGTTCAGAGAAGGGGGAGTGGCCGAGGCCTGTGCCAGCCCAGCAACAGCCAGGATTGGTTTAGGGAAGAGGGGCGGAGTTAGTCAGTTGGAGGGAAAGAGAAGAGATAGTTTTGACAGTTCAGTTTTTAGTTCAGCTGAGTTCTGAGTAGAGTGAAAGCAGTTTAGTTCTGGAGAGAGATTAGAGTAGGAGTTGGATTGTTTAGGAGTCTCTGTGAAGAAAAGGCAGTTTGCCTGTAGTTTGCACAGCACAGTAGGCTGTGGCAGACTGAGTTACAGCTATTTTGGGAAAGAAAATAGCTGGGGGTTTTATGTTTAAGAAATTGTAACTAAGAAAAGAACATTCTCTCAAGTAACCAATACGCTTATAAGAAACAAGAACACTTTTATCTGTAACCATCAAGCCTCTGAACCTGCATATCACTTGTAAATCTATAATTTGTAAACAATAAACTCTTTCTTGTTATTTTTAAAAGTCAAGCCTGAGTCAAGTGCCATTTTTGGTTTTGAATCCTTTTCCTTATTGAATCAACCTCTTCTGTTTCCCCTCACAGAAAGCCCTTGATAACACACAGCCTTT